TCTAGTCAATCCAAGAAAATGCCCGGATCTATTCAACACCAATTTCAATTCTCCTGGGTGTTAATAAAAGAAGTGTTAGAATAAATCTATTTTTCAGATATCTCTGAATTCATTTCAATCAATTTAAGAAAATGCCCGAAGCAATAGTGTCTATTCAACACCAATTCCAATTCATCTAGGCCAGTAGAAATTCTTTAGCCAGTTGATAAAAGAAGTGTTAGAATCAATCTTCTTATACAATTAATCAAAATAAAATACTAATCTTCACTTTTCTCATTTCCCAGATATTTTTAAATTCATTCTAATCAATTCAAGAAAATGCCCAGATTCATTTAACACCAATTCCAATTTCCTGGGCCGGTTGATAAAAAAAGTATTAGAATGAATTCACTTCCCAGATATTTCTAAATTCATTTTAATCAATCCAAGAAAATGCCTGGATCTATTCAATACCAATTCCAATTTTTCCGGGGCTGGTTGATGAAAGAAGTGTTAAAATAAATCTATTTTCCAGATATTTCTGAATTCATTCTAATTAATTCAAGAAAATGCCCGGATCTATTCAACACCAATTCTAATTCTTCAGAGCTAGTTGATAAAAGAAGTGTTAGAATGAATCCATTTTCCAGATATCTCTGAATTCATTCCAATCAATCCAAGAAAATGCCTGGAGCAATAGTGTCTATTTAATACCAATTCTAATTCATCCGGACTGGTAAAAATTCTTTAGCTGGTTAATAAAAGAAGTGTTAGAATCAATCTTCTTATACAATTAATTAAGATAAAATACTAACCTTCACTTTTTTCAGTTCTCAGATATTTTTGAATTCATTCTAATCAAATCCAAGAAAATGCCCAGATTCATTCAACACCAATTCTAATTTTCTGGGCCGGTTGACAAAAGAAGTATTAGAATGAATCCACTTTCCAGATATTTCTGAATTTATTCTAATTAATCCAAGAAAATACTCGAATCCATTTAACACCAATTCCAATTCTTCTGAGCCAGTTGATAAAAGAAGTGTTAGAATGAATCTATTTCCCAGATATCTCTGAATTCATTCTAATCAATCCAAAAAAATGCCTGGAGCAATAGTGTCTATTCAACACTATCCAGGCTGGTAAAAATTCTTTAGCCGGTTGATAAAAGAAGTGTTAGAATCAATCTTCTTATACAATTAATCAAGTAAAATACTAACTTTCGCTTTTCTTATTTTTTGGATATTTCTGAATTAAGAAAATACCTGGATCTATTTAACACCAATTCCAATTTCCCAGGCCGGTTGATAAAAGAAGTATTAAAATAAATCCATTTCTGGATATTTCTGAATTCATTTCAATCAATCCAAGAAAATGCCCAGACCTATTTAACACCAATTTTAATTCTTCTAATTGGTAATCTTTGGTTCCTTAGACTCTTTTACAGCTATTCTTAGAGACATTATATGGTCTAGTCTTAGACTAATAGACCATAGTTAGTCTTAAGATTAGTCTGAGCTAAAAAAAATTGGTCTGCTCTAAGTTTTAATACTAGACTGGTTTAGACTGGTCTAGACTAGCAAAGTCTTAAAACCGAAGACCATAATAGATCAGACTAGACTTGGACCAAAATTGACTAGACTGAACCAAACTGGAATATTAACATCTCTAGCTGTTCTCCTAAATTTGAAACAAACTAAAAATTTGTTTGCTTCCCGAAATCTCTTTTGTTTCATTCTAAAGATCCCTAACTCTTCAGAATTATGTCATTGTCTTTGAAACTTCAGTCTGAAAATAGTAATGTATTTTTTGAAGAACTATGATTTATAGAACGAAACTAGGAGATTTTAGGAAACAAGCAAATTTTTAGCTTGTTTCAGAATTTATGATATAATATCTTGTTAAAGAATTCGCATCTAGTATATAATTAAGATTGAGTTAGTTTGTATTGTAAAAAAATTAAATACCAGCAAAGATACAGTGAGATAAAAAAAAAAAATTTGCCACTATTGCTATACTCCACGGTAGCTATTAGACTTCTTGGCAGATTTGAAAAAATATGCAAATACATGTTTTATAATTACAATTATCAACACCAATTCTATATCGATAACATTTACCTAAAGAAAAAAATACTTGCTGTGCTTTTCATAAGTATTTTGTAATAAACAATGTCGATTTTGATTGAAGCAACTTTGTTGAAATTAGGAAAAAGGTGATTAGATCGGTTGGAAAAGGAAATCATTTGCCATCCTGCCTATTCATAAAGGCCCCTAACTCAGAATAATGGGCTTAGAACCCACAATCAATACAAAACATTAAAGCACATAAATTCTATAATTTTAGCTCAGAGAATCGATCAATACTTTTGCTATTAGAGTTGAGAAAGATGAAGGTTAAATTGACACTTACATCAAAGTGGATTTTTATTTCTTGCTTCTTTCTTAATTTTTTTACATAGTTTATTGATATATATCTGGCCACTATTGGCTGACAATTACACTTGCTGTTTCAGTTTTTCTATTTCTTGCCATAAATTTTTTAGGCTTTGGTTCAGTAAATTAGAAAGTGTTAAATATTTTGAGCAGGTTAACCTCTAATACATCTTCAGCTCATATTTGTTTTAGCCAAATCACCACTATCTCACTGGTCTCAAAAATACTCTAATAACTCTCATCTTTTACTTTCACTTTTTCGTAAATAGCATTGGGGGTTGCTAGAGATAAATGATTTTTAAAATTTGGGCTTAATCAACTACCTTCTATAATTGTACTATCATAGTAATATTAATCTTATCTTAGTAGTATTAAAGTAGCCAAAGTTTTGTAAGTTTATTCAGTCTGGCAGCATCGCTTTTTCTAGAAAAACTTTATTGAAATTAGCTAGTAATACTTAAATTTTTTTCGAATTTAAAAGTTTATTACCTCATTCATTAGCTAAATTTGTCTAAATTTGCTTTCTAAATGAAGTCTTTTGGGATACTGATCTATACTGATCTTTTTTCACTAGAGATGTATAAAGAGGTAAAAAATACTTTAAGACGGTTTTAAAAAAAATTTATTATATAAAACCACAAGTTGCCAATTGACAATATGGTTTTTCATAGTAAGGGTTACTTTAAAAATTTTAATTTACATTGTATAACTTAATGATCTTCAAGCCAATTAAATCAAATATCCGCCATGCTCTGTAAACTATAATGCAAGCCTATTTTTCAAAATTCATTATCTGTGAGATTTAAACTCTAGACCTGGAGTGATAACTAAACCACTACACTAAATCACCACATCTCTATTATCAAATACTAATATTATATTTTCTTTTATCAAATAATTTAATATTTCTACTTTTTTTTATTTTAAACAAATCTTTAGTTTTCTTTATATAGATTCTGGTATCCTTTAGCTATTTAAATCTAATTGAAAATATAACCAATTTAGATTACCAAATAAAAAAGTAAAAAATATAATATCACCAATTATCTGTAGTAGTTACAATATGCTCTAACTGCAAGCAATAGTTTACTTTATTTGTATAGATTTTTAAATAATTAGTTAAATAATTCCAAACCTGTACTAAATTATTATCAAGATAAATTATAATATACTACTTTGTTTCTATACTTGACATTTACAAAATAAAAAAAAATAAAAAATTTATTATTTTTAATTTTACACTATATTTTTAATTGTTAATATACTGTAAGTAACCAAAATTTGATTTTAATAATAATTTTAAAAATACTATATTAATATTATCAAATTTAGTAACTTGTTTGTTATTATTATTATTATTATTATAAATACAGTATTTTTTTAAAAAATTGTTAGCTTTTACTTGCTAGTTTAAGACGTTCTGCACTATATTTTATGAGTTTTTAATATATATATAAACTGAAATTAGAATTTAAGCTAGATTTAAGGTTTTGAAGTGCTTTTAGTTTAAAGCATTTTTACTTAAAGCGCCATTCACTATTTAATTAGCCAGTTTTTTTAAAATAATGCATATACAAGTAAAAAAACTATCATAGGTGCATTTAGATGCACTTCAGTGTTTTTAAGAAATATATATTAGTAATATGGCAGATTGGATAAATGACAAACTTAAAATTTTATTTGTAATTATTCTACGTTGTATAATAATCTTTTATTTTTGTATAGAAAATATTTAAAGTTTGTAACATGTACGTAAGTACGTACGTACGTATCTGGTATGTAAAAGAATATTGAAATAGACCAGACCATCACTTTTAAAATCACGTTTCACCATAATATCACACATCAAAAAAAAATTTTTCATTATTTGGTCAATAATTTTAGAAAAAAATTTCTTGGAACCCTTTAACACTGCTCATATTCCCTTTTTAGGACGCGTGAAATAAGCGGTGGAACAGAGAAACGTGGGCCTTGCCCATTTTTCAAGCTCCAAACTGTAAAAAGGAAAAATGGGTACCGGCCATAAACTCGTGCAGAAAAAAACTATAGCGATAGAGGCAAAAAAAAAAAAAAATCGAACGAAGAACGATCGATATTCGAACTGCATTGAAAGAATGATGATAAGCCAAGTATAATCCGCTTAAGAGTTTAAAAGAAAAAGAGGGAAGTCATAAAAATAAGGTCGCTTGGAAGATATTTACTTTCAGGACTATCGAGGAAACAAATCCGGAAAATATGTTAAATTAAAATACAAATAATAAAAAGGCTGCCGTGTAAAAAAAGTTCGTTTTCTATAGTATATAAAGAGAATGTTATTTAAATTTTTTTTTAAAAAAAATTTACAATCTGGTAAAAGCCTTCACCAAGAAAAAAAGTATGTATAAAACGAAATCGATCTAATAATCTATTTGAGTATTTAACAAATAAGTTCTATGGTTATATGTAATAATAATGATTGTATAATGTGTATATATATGCACTATTAAACAATTTATTATATATTTGTGAAATGTCCGAAAATTATTCTCGTCATTGAATTATTTCTCTTCACCATTAGAATTTTACTATTTCATATTTAATGAATGGTTAATTTAATTGTTTGTCGTCATTCAACTCAATTCGCGACTGTTTGAGAGGAGGTGAATCTTTTTCGACGTCCGAAGCGCCGGGTGTTGGCATTGATGCCAAGTCATGAAGACCATTAGCATCAATTTGTGAATTTATATCGGATGCAGCAGTCTCTGATGCAGATGATGGTTGTAATTGTTGTTGCATAGCAGATAATGCACGCTTTCTTGTAATTTTTGCAAAATCTAATTTAAAATGCGGTTAAATTCTGTATCGTGTGATAATGCGGTATTTTTATTGTAAAGTGAAACTTACGAAGTCCACACGCATTGCATAACGTTCTAGCACCATCGGGGCCACGGCGCCACTCAGGCGTTTCGGAGATATTGCATGAATGACATCTCCCTGGTGGAGCAGCACGCTTCTAGAAAATTAAGATACCAGCATATATCAGTCAAAAAAAAAAAAAAAAAAAATTATGCAATAAAAAAAAAAATGGTTATATAGCATAAAACAACTCACACTTCTTTTTCTGTATTTTGTGCGTTGTGAGGTTATGTCAGGACGCTGTTTTCGATTTAAGTCAAGTGAATCATCGTTATCAATAGCATTTGAGGGCTATATTAAAATTTATGATTTATTATCTGTTATTAATATTACTGTTTATTATTATTAAATAAATAATAAATGGGCACGTAAAGAGAACTGTTACATACATCAGAATTTCTTGATGTAACTTCGTTCTTTAATCCGGTTAAAATATTTAGCACATCGTAAGCTCTATTTATTATATTTGTCAATTGAGTTTCATTAACTTGAAGCATAATAGAGTTCCATGAACCTTGATTAAGGTGCACGTCACGGTACTGAGAGGCAAACTGAGAGATTTGGCTACAATGGTCGACGACCTAATCAATCATAATAAACCATATCTTACATTAACAGAAAAAAAAAAATAATAAAAAATAAAAAAGAATAATATATGCAGACAATGTTCTTTTTACCTTTCCCAATTTAACCAAAGGTGGCTCGGTAGTTTGAACGTAAGGAGATTCCGGATTATCTCTACTTAGATAAGAACTGTATTGAGGATAACTAGAATGCTGCGATAGAGCAGAAAGACTATGACCGAATCGCGTCGCTTGTTGCTGGTCGTATAAGTACGGTGGTGATAGCGAGTGAGTAGAGGGTGGTAAAGATTGTTGATAATGGTAAGGCTGTTGATGCTCGACAGGTTGCCAGGATTGTCGTTGGGAAGCAACTGGTGTCGGTATATTATAAGAGTTTGAACTTGATGATAGTGGAGAAGGACCATACGAAGGTTTTCTTATCATCGGCCGAGGATGTATGTCATCAGTCATCGAATCTTGACTCGATTCATGATAACCAGGGTAACTTTCAATTTTATTTAAAGAAGATAACTGAGGTCCCATCGAGGTGGGACTTTGTAACGAATGGTTATGTTGATTAGGAGTGATCGGTGCGTTATGAATGGCAGGGTTTAAAATGTGTTGCGGTTTTGGAAATTGTATCGAAGGAGATAAGGGAGTTGTATCTTGCAGAATCGATGTCAACGGTGGAAGATGCGGACCTCCTTTTTCGTTCGGAGGTTCAATAATTCTATAAAAAGAATAAAATTTATTTATGAAAAAATCGAAATTAATAGATGATTATATATGCGCCTTAAAGATACTTACGGTGGTGATGGTAAACTATGAACACGTTCGATTGAAGAATTAGAGGATGGAAACTCTGGAATTTTCTTTGGTGGAGGATGACCAATCGGCGGCAAAGAACAAATCGAATTCACATCCATTATATTCAATCCTTGAACGAGAATTTCGTATTAAAGAATCAAGATATGCACATATAACATACAATCATTAAGTTCAAACTCGAAGAAGACGCATACCAAACCACAAACAAATTCTTTGAAAAGTATAATCGATGGTATAATAAAGAAGCCTTAGATAATAAAAGGGAGGAATTTTGCGAAATCAACGATAGGTATGTTTAAGAGAAGCGTTGCACGATTTTAGTTCTGTAACGATACAAAAGAAATAAGACTCCTAATAAAAAAAAAAAATCCTGAACACTAGTATAGGATGTTTTCCAAGTAATAAGTAATATTCGAAAAAAAGCTATGTAAGAGGTGGTAAAAAAAAAACTTCCCAGCAAGGGGGGAAAGAGGTGTATTTATATACTAAAATAATAAAATAAATCGTTAACTGATATTATACTGTATTTGATGATTGAGCATTCATCGATGCATAAACAACCGTATTCATCATTCATTCATGTATATACACGATTTGCAATGAATAGTGATATTTTAGTGGTACAATGAACGGTCCAGATTTGTTCTTTAATGTAATTATGTTACAGTAAATTGTAAATATAAAGCAAAAATTGCTCATATATTGACAGTTGTACACTGTATCACGGTGATATCGTTGTAATTATGAAAGAGTGATTTGTAATTTTGAATCACTCTTGTGACCATCTTCAAGTCACCAACCCCAGATATCTATTTCACGATCTCACGATTCAACATACATACTGTATCTGGTATGTACGTACGTACGTACGTATGTACATACTGTACGTACCAAACCAAGAAATTAATCCAAATTTAGATCATTTAAAGAATAGAATTTGCCCGCCGCCATCTTAAACGGATTACGTACGTACGTAAGTACGTACAGTACGTGCTTGAATGATGCAAGTGATATTCTAAGTCTCAATTCTAACCTTGATGAATCGTTTACTTTGCGCATATCACTTGCATCTACTGTAGCAAACGTTAAGCTTGCACCGTTATCGAAATGATGCATAATTAAAAATCTTATCTATCTTTCTTTTTTTAAATATCGACCCGCATGCCTGCGCATTTACTCGCATTCACCAGATAATATACTGAGATATTTAATCACATTGA